TTGTTGAGGATTGCTAGTTTGGCTGATTCTTTAAAAAGTTGTTGAGGATTGCTAGTTTGGCTGATTCTTTAAAAAGTTGTTGAGGATTGCTAGTTCGGCTGATTCTGTAAAAAGTTGTTGAGGATTGCTAGTTCAGCTGCTTCTTTGTCTTTTTTTTGTATATTTTTCATTAAAGAAGCATCAATAAAGTAATTGTAAAACTGTTTATTGGAAAATTGAAGCGATCCATTCTGGGTACGTGACAGATTTGATTTGTTATGGGAAATGAAAGCACGGTCATACAGGAAACTATCTTCCCTTCAAAATACGAGCTTGAATTTTAAAGTTTTTCATGTAGTTGCTCCAGTTGACCACTAGATATCAGTCTATCCTCGTTGGCCAATTGCTTCGACCAATTACGTAAAGTATTGAGCTCCAGCGTTTAAAAATTATTTATTTTTTAAAAAGGAGCTCCGATTGTAAAGTAAAATAAAATAATCAATACATACAAAATTTAGTATGGATTACAAACGTTTACTGTTTTTGCTGAGAAAGGGAGTACTAAACATTGCCTTCCTGCTATGTAAGCAGACACAAAGCATTGTGGGAAATGAGAGCCGTGGCTGAAAGCAACAGTCAGCAAGGATGTATACCTTTCCAGTAAGTGTGTTTATCTGGGAGGGGGATGACGTGTTGTGATTTGTTGACAGCCATACCTTCCTCTGTTCAACATAAAATGACTGGTAGATAATTAGTTAGTAGCGGTACTGCATTCTAATTTTAGAAAGTGCAAATCTGCTTATGAATTATAAAAATTAGTAAGACCGCTAAAGCACAAACGAAATATTTAGGTCCGCAATTAGTGGATTTGCGCTTTAGCGGACTGGTGCCCACCACTGGTTAAAACCAAAGTTTTAAAATGACTCCTATGAAGCACAGGCAGCTGGTGCAGAGAGACCAGAACAGAAGTAATGTGAGCTCTTCTGGGGCTCTCAGTTAATAACCTCGCTGCAGCGTTCTGCAGACCGAAGGCGAGCCAAGGAGGATTTATTCAAGCCAGTAAAAAGGCTGTTACAGTGCTCTAAATGAGAAGAAATTAAAACAAACACTGATCTCTAGTTTAGTCTGCAACACAAAAGATCTCAACTTAGATATTTCTTAAATCATAAAAAAACAATTACGAACAAAYGTTTTACAATGACTGCTGAAAGACAAGGAACTGTCAAAAAGGCCACGCCCAGATTTCTGAGACTTCTTTTTACAGAGGTGAAAAAAAGCAAGATGACGTCTGATTAAACGAATTCATCCTCAGGGGCGATGATAAGCCTCCAAAATCTTCAAAACCTTTGAACTTGACATTTGAGGAATCGATTAAATTGTCTCCAAAGCGTGTGCTTAGGTATCCAGTAGGTGTAAAGATAATCTTATCTACTGTTTGGTCCAGTTTGACTGAACCCATGAAAAAAAAAACTCAGCTGGGCAATTCACAAAGGAGGGAAAAYGTGGAAACTGTAACACTTGAGACAACCTGGTGGGTTCTACTTTGGTTTGTGGAGAAGCTCAGGGCTAAAGCCTTCATTTTGTTATATTTTCTGCCCTGTGTTGTTAAACGTCAGCGATCAGTTGTTSTCAAGCTTTCACAATCATCAGTAAAGTCAGTTAAATCTGTAGACATATCCCAATCCCACCGATTACACCCACTAACCCTTACAAATGCACAGAGACGTGTGTTTTCATGTGAATGTGTGCGTCTCTGCAGCGGTTGACTCACCTTGATGCGAACCTCATTGGCCTGAGGCGGCGCCACCTCGATYTCCTCCATCACCAGGGGCTTGTTGGGCGCCCAGGCCACAGCTGCCTTGCACTTGATGACCTAAAGCAACAGTGACACCGGCGTGAATTGCTGTGTCTACAGCTGAATTACGTTCCACCGAGGTGCCGTGAAAAGTTCAGGGAATGCTCCGAGCTCTCATTCGAGTGACAAATGTAATTTAAAGTGCTTCGTTTGTCAGATCTAAAGCCCATTTTAGCTGAGCTCGGGGTCATAGTGTCACCATCCTGATATGTCAAGTCAAAGCTTTAAACACCTTGATTT